ACTTATAACCGACAGATCTATTGCGTGCTTCAAAATATCAAACTATCATAGTATGAAGTGTTATACTATCCCATAACCATCTTGCAATAACTGGACTTAAAAATGGCGCTGAACATCGAATTATAGGCAGAGAGTTTTTCGGAGAATATTTTTAGAAAATTCTACACAAATCTGTTTGCATCACACGCCAGCAATCCAACATTCTAAACCACGGTGGGCATTATCTTCCTCGGCTTTTCAGTGAGATAAAATATTCAGTCTTCCGAACCGAAAGTAGGAAAGGTCTTCGGCAAAAATAACGCTAACAGTGTTTTTGTCAAAACCCATATCAGAATGGTCAGCTAGAATACATCAAAAATATAGAAATCAGCGTCCGGTTTCGAATTTCAGTGAAAGGAGGAAGATGGAGTCGTGAATCTTGTGAAAAGTCGGCAAGTACTGAAAAAGCAGTTGATAATAAAGAAGGATATGCTCAATAAGCAGAGGATCCAGTACAGGAGTGATTAGCACATCGTGTTCGGAAGCAAGAAAAGCAAACGAAAAATCGCCTTCAGTAAGAGGTAAAAAACTAAAGCTGATACTTAGGTAAAGCAGAAGGCGAATAAAGTGATGCAGCCAAGGTAGACCTGAGGGCTCTCAGCTTTACCTAAGCATCAAAATGTGAAGACACGCAAAAACGAGAAATTCGATTCTTTTCCAGTCTATGATTGTTTGCAAAACGATTTTTTTCGCGAAAGACGAATGGGGACTGGATAAGGTCAAATTACGTATACAGCAGCTCAATTTTTAAAAAAAATGCTAAGCCAATAAAATCCTCTACAAAAAATTCGTAATAACTTGCACGGGACACTCACCTGTTTTTCGGGATTTTTTGAACGCAATCGGCTCTTGAATGGCATCGATGCTCTCATACTCAATAATTTATCCAGAACTGGTTTCAAATTGCTACGAAGCTCAGCTGGACCAAATATCTGAATTAAATTAATCTGAGAGAAGAAACGTATTAGACAATTAATATAGCAATTTTAATCTATCTTTGTTTAAATTGACAAAGTTCGAGATGTGTTGGCGACACTCAACATATGCCAAGGATATCCGCCAAATGGCTAAAATTTTGCAAAGTGCCTGTGTGGGGTAAGCGCTAGGTCGACAGTCCCTTTAGAAGGTAGGTCTTAGAGTTAAATTTTACTTATAAACAAATCCAGGCTTTTGCAGCTTTGGTGCCTGTGCTGCCACTCCCCGTCTTGCTTAACTTACTTGCTCCTCAGCCCTCCCCTCGGATCCGCCTACGCTCAAGACTAACAGCTAGT